GAGAGAGAGAGAGAGAGAGAGAGAGAGAGAGAGAGAGAGAGAGAGAGAGAGAGAGAAAGTACGAGAGAGACGGAGAGCGAATGTGCTGTGTTAATGTTATGCTAGGAAAATATCATTTTGTGTCGAGGACACAGTAAAAGCACGCTGTTAATAGTTTTTTTTTCCCAATCCAGGATCAATAAGATTTATCTTTCCATACTGTACTCACAAAAAGATTGGTTTAATTCATGTACTGGTTTCTTATCAAGTATCATAATTTTCATTTTTTATTCGATGGTCATCGTCCTTTTTTTTACTTTTAAAAGCAGCCTCTTTCTGGTTAACTTATTCGTCTCTAATTATTACATGGTGTCTTTTTTGCAACCAATAAGTTTTTAAATAGTAGATTTATTTGTCTCTCTGAATAGACTTGAAAAGGGGGAAGGAGGTAGACACGTAGATGGAGGAGGAGGAGGCGAAGAAGAAGAAGGAGAAGAAGAAGAAGAAGAAGAGGAGGAGGAGGGGGGAGGAGGAGGACAAGAAAGAAGAAAAGGAGGCGGAAGAGGAGGGGGAGGCAAAAGAGGAGAGCAAAGAAAATCATAGTAAAAAAACAATAAGGTGTCGACGAATACACAAAAGAATGAAATAAAAATTAAGAGGTTGAGGGGGGAAACGTTAGGAGAGGAGAGAGAAGAAGAAGAAAAGGGGGAAGAGGGAGATAAAGAAGAAGGGAGAGGGATAAAAAGAAGAAAGGACGATAAGTGAGATGGCAATAATAGCGGTGGAGAATTTAAGAAAAGCGTTATGGGATTGTCCACTGTTACCCAAGACTTGGGTATCGCCTTCACCAAGTGTCTGAATGACGTAATCAATATAAGTGCACTTGCGACGAGTGGGTTATCAGAGAGGACTGTGGTATCAGCGTCGAGAAGCGGGGAAGAGCGACAGTACTGAGCGAATATCGCATCTTGATGGCATCCAAAGAGGTTCTATTTTATAGTCTGGTCAAAAATTCGTGGCGCAACTTATCCTCAAATATCTCTTTAATCTCTTTAAGTAAGTACGGGTGAATCACTGTCGCCCATACTTGGCACAGCAGTTTGTATCAATTTGTCTGACTTAACACACTTTTCCACAACAACTGAGGCTCGATTAAAATATCTTTTGAAATAAATGTATATAAAATACAATAAATCTCCATCAAGCGGAAGATATGATTGTTCACAGCACTTCCCGCTTCCCGCACACATTTTGCATATTTTGAACACATTAACATTTTTTGCACCAAAGTTTAAGGTTCCCTAAAGATACGTTCAATAAACATAATATTGCGATTAGAAAAAAAATGACAGACTTGCTTTTAAAAGCGATATTACTCGAGCTGTAAACTTTTAAAAATCTGTAGAAACCATCGACTGAGAATTTTTATTGTTATTTATAAAGGGATTTTCTAGAAAACATTGTGCAGGAGTTTGAAAAAAATATTCATCAGTTAAGACAAATTGGTATATGTTATTGTGCAAGAATTGGAGAGTTTATGTTGGATAGTTAAGGAGATATTTGACAATAAGTTGCGCCATGCATTTTTGACCGCACTATAGTACAAAAGTTGGTGGCTGGGATGTCCCCCACGTAAACGATCGGGGGCTGCGTGTGTCCACTTCAGGACGCTGGAACTCAAGGGTAAGACATGCGCAGTTCAACAGACGGGTGAGTACTTTTCGAGACTCACGTGGAGGCGTCTCGGCGGTCTCAGGAGGAACTCTACAAGCTTGCGCTGAAATATGGAGTCAGGGTGGTGGTTGATATACTAGAGCTCGTGGGGAGCGGGGTGGGGGCTCAGATTGTTCAAGTAAATGGGGGGCACGCCGGCCATGCCGATGAGGGTAAGAAGGCCCCCATGTCTGACACGTATGACGTCACTGCTGCGAGCTCTAGTATTATATATAACCTCTTTGGTGGCTTAAAATATCGTAGTATAGGATTATTGATGGAGTTCATCCAAAGATGATTCATCATGACGTCGATGCTCCATGTTTTTGTCGTGGTCTTGAGGCTTACAGATTTAGTATGTTAGAATGGTGAATTGAAATAGACTCTCAATGGTGAATGAAATCAAACCCTCAATGGTGAATGAAATCAGACCCTCAATGGTGAATGAAATCAGACCCTCAATGGTGAATGAAAACAGACTCTCAATGGTGAATGAAAACAGACTTTCAATGGTGAATGAAAACAGACTTTCAATGGTAAATGAAAACAGACTCTCAATGGTGAATGAAAACAGACGTTCAATGGTGAATGAAAACAGACCCTCAATGGTGAATGGAAATACATGTAGACTCTCAATGGTGAATGGAAATAGGCTCTCAATGGTGAATGAAAATAGGCTCTCAATGGTGAATGAAAATAGGCTCTCAATGGTGAATGAAAATAGGCTCTCAATGGTAACTGAAAATAGACCCTCAATGGTGAATGAAAATAGACTCTCAATGGTGAATGGAAATACATGGAGACTCTCAATGGTGAATGGAAATACATGTAGACTCTCAATGGTGAATGAAAATAGACTCTCAATGGTCACTAACTGAAAATAGACTCTCACTACGCAATAGGTTCTGTCTTCCTCGCATCTTTGCCTGGATATATCGACGAGATCTTCTGATTTGTTTTGTCGCTGCCCTCATCTTTAGATTCACATATTTCTTCTCCAGGTGCTCCAGCCGGGGACGTATACATAACGTTATGTTTTCTGTGTGTGTGTGTGTGTGTGTGTGTGTGTGTGTGTGTGTGTGG